TGGGGCTTGTTGGGGAAGCTGGACAGCATTAAGGGGAGGTTGGTGAATATCCACGAAGGCTTAGCCAGTAGCCAAGCATCTTGGCATGTAGGATGGTGACGCTGGCGCCATATATGTACCTGCACAAAGACTGGAATGCCCTGTTAACCTGGTTAAGGTGACGATGGACTGAAGCCACTCTCACTATCAGCTGACGGAGAGAAGCCTGCCTGTCCAGGTGTCATGCCGCTGCTGATACCAGGGGACCAGGCACTGGCGTAGGATGGTGTGTCTCCCTAGTTCCAGGGTGTCACCTGTGGAGACGTGCAGCTCACAGGGCTGTCGAAGAACATGCCAGTTCCCGCACCTGCAAGACAGATGAAATAATGACATGTCTGTGAAGCAAGATAGCTGGATGTGAGAAGTTTACAAACCTATGCTTACCAACAACTTGTTCCAGATTTATTCCTGACCTGACTGACACATTGGATCCACATTGGATCGCCTATTACAAGAATGCTGCATAGTCCTGGGGGAAGAGAGGGAGAGAGGGGTTTTCTCTAGTCTAAACACCTACTTCAATCAGAATATGTGCTTATTCACTTTGACTCTTACTGTTGCACTGACACACAGACTTCCAGATGCAACAGAGCAACCTACTGGGTATGTGTCCCGCGCACTCACACCTGCTGATGGAAACTGTTCAGGCCTCAGAAATTTGTAGAAATGTCACAAATATATCCTGCAATAAAAGACACGCGGAAGTAGAAACGATGAAAGTTGACTTGTGATGATTCTTGTACCAAAAGAATAGTAAATATGAATTAATCGGGCCTGCCATGCATTTTTGTGCAGGCAGAAGTAAGTGTGGCTAAAAATACCGAAAAAGAGTGGGGAATACACAACTACATGCCAGAGTGGCAGCCAAACACACCAAACTGTAATGAACGCACACATGGACTGTTGGGCTATATAAACGATCGGTTTTCATTTGTCTATCATTACAATGAACAAATGTGAAAAGTGAAAACTTGCCGCGACTAATAGGAACCCAACGTAACAGCGCCATCGTCCGACTGCAGACAGGCGACCTGGCTTCAGCTGTAGCCAGGATTTTGTACCTATCGCCATGCTCCATTACAAGACCATGGAAACGTTATCAGATGAAGAGGTCAACACGTGACCTATCCAGACCCAGTCGACCACGTGTCACACCTACGGAAGACAGGTTCATACGGGTTTGTCACCTACAGCTACAAAAATAACAGGATTGCCCAGAAAGTGAGGAACATTCTACACGCCGATGATAATCGCTAGAGACAACCAGTTTCTGTGATGTCAGTGGTGTTAAGGGCACAGAGTATGGCCGCAACAGCTATGGAGGGGGTGTTTGGTTTTGCTTTCCTATACAGACGGAAGACGTCGAGTTGGTGGGGAACGTTATCTTCGAAAGCGTGTAAAAGGAGTGGCCAGGTTTTGTGGGCAGGAGCGTAATGTTGGCGGAAGTGTCCCAAACATGGCCCAGGGCAACCGAATTCCACACCATTACACAGATAAAATTCTTGTGTCACACGTCCTTCCGATTATGCAACAAGCTGACGTCATTTATCAACACAACGCCCGATCTCACACGACAAGACTGATCTTTCGGAAGGACCACAATATCCAAGTATTGCCATGGCCCAGATCTAAACCCTATCGAACATAGCTATTCTAAATGTGTGATATCTTTTCTGCAGTAGGACGATAGCGACCACCATAACAGATTACACGCTCTCTGCCGTGTGAATCAGTTTGGACTATTTCAAATGAGTATCACCTGTGAGTTTGAAGGGTTTGGTTTGATCAGGGTATGTCAGGATAGGTGCAGCTGTGATGGCTTCAAACAATGGATGGACAATTCAAAAGATGGACTGACTGACTGACTGAGTTTAGTTTTACGCCGCTTTTAGCAATATTCCAGCAATATCACGGCGGGGGACACCAGAAATGGGCTTAACACATTGTGCCCTCAAAAGATGCAACTGTTTTTTTAGAATGGTGTACAGTGGGGTGGGATTTGGTCAAACATGTACGACAGTAGGAAACCAAACATGAGAAATGATGAACGTGGTTGAGGAATGAAATAGAGGCTCGGTATGTGGCGTCCTTAATCTACGCAAAACGATGTCATTACCATGACAACGGGTGAGTGCCGCTCAGAAGAACCTTTCTTTTCTAATGACTTCGTTTTGCCTGTGAAAAGCTTAAGGGGAGTCTACTCGGTCCAGCATCAACTGTTTCCAGTCTATTTACGGCAATGGGGTAGTCAAATTGTTAAAGTGTCCGCTTGTCACGCTGAAGATTCGAGTTGCATTCCCCACATGGTTCAATGTGTAAATCCAATTTCTGATGTCCCAGAAAAAACGGCGTAAAAACGGCGTAAAACCATACTCAACCTAACTCAGATCAGTCTAAGGCAACATCTTGTCTTTGTTCTTGCTGAAATGCATGTGAATATCTTCTTCGTTCTTGTGGAAGAGGGAGGATCAGGATCGGACAAATGTCGAGGACAGATGTGGGGTTAGTTTCTGAGGCAACAGCTATAACTGTTTCCGAAATCAGTTAAAGCATCCCAGGTCACCATGACATATGCAGCATGTGGACCTTGTACCTAAGGGGATATCTGGCTGATGCTTGTTACATGCATGTGAGCCATGTGTATCAGGCCAGGTGTGACAGTGATATGATAACATACTCAGGGCATTTGTATCTGATGACCCATACTTTATCTATGACTGGCCTTTATAAGTATGTAATATGTAGACAGTCGTACACTTGCCATAGAAGTAGGTGATTGCACAATTAACTTCATGAAATACATATATCCATGCCATAAAGATGCGCGCATCAGAAAGATGAAAAGGCAAACACACATAATTGAAGATATTTGCTTTGTTAATAGGAACAAACTGTACACGGCGAGAAAATGGCAAAGTTTGGATTTTTAGTGTGTTCTGTCACAGTAGTTTAATGTTGGAGGGATAAGCTAATACTTTGAGTATAAAGGGGCATTAAATCATAACATGGCGTATAAACAGGACACATGATTGAGATCTCCGACCCAATTCTCCTACTTCGATATCTATGATTGAATATTCCTGTGTAATTTCACCACTAGATCAACTGTGACTTATCATGAATGATCACAATGTGTCTCAGATTATCTACCGGTCACCACAAACAACAGCAATTCTCCAATAAAACCATAAATCGACTTTGACTACAATATAGATTCCAACAAGTTTCAGCCAAGACAACTCAGTCGACCCACAGAGTCAAAGAATGTTCTGCTACACAAGGACGTCCAGCTCAAAGACCAAGAAATATTATCTCAAGTGATGAAGCGTTGACATTGAGAAACAAAATTCAGTCATAACTGCCCAAACTAACTTGATTCGTGATATTCAAGAGAAATTAGAAATCAAATAGTGTCCAAAATAGAACAATCTGTAGTCAGATGTGATGAACTCGAACAATACATCCGAAGAAACTCTTTATGGTTTATGTTATGTTAGCATCTGATATGGATGTGTTTCTGGGGGCTGTGAGGTGTATCTGTATGTTAGCATCTGATAGGGATGTGTTTATGGGGGCTGTGAGGTGTAGCTGTATGTTAGCATCTGATAGGGATGTGTTTATGGGGGCTGTGAGGTGTAGCTGTATGTTAGCATCTGATAGGGATGTGTTTCTGTTTGCTGTGAGGTGTAGCTGTATGTTAGCATCTGATAGGGATGTGTTTATGGGGGCTGTGAGGTGTAGCTGTATGTTAGCATCTGATAGGGATGTGTTTCTGTTTGCTGTGAGGTGTAGCTGTATGCTAGCATCTGATAGGGATGTGTTTCTCGGGGCTGTTAGGTGTAGCTGTATGTTAGCATCTGATGGGGATGTGTTTCTGGGGGCTGTGAGGTGTAGCTGTATGTTAGCATCTGATAGGGATGTGTTTCTGGGGGCTGTGAGGTGTAGCTGTATGTTAGCATCTGATGGGGATGTGTTTCTCGGGGTTGTGAGGTGTAGCTGTATGTTGGCATCTGATGGGGATGTGTCTCTGGGGGCTGTGAGGTGTAGCTGTATGTTAGCATCTGATGGGGATGTGTTTCTGTTTGCTGTGAGGTGTAGCTGTATGTTAGCATCTGATAGGGATGTGTTTCTGTTTGCTGTGAGGTGTAGCTGTATGTTAGCATCTGATAGGGATGTGTTTATGGGGGCTGTGAGGTGTAGCTGTATGTTAGCATCTGATAGGGATGTGTTTCTGGGGGCTGTCAGGTGTAGCTGTATGTTGGCATCTGATGGGGATGTGTTTCTGGGGGCTGTGAGGTGTAGCTGTATGTTAGCATCTGATAGGGATGTGTTTCTGGGGGCTGTCAGGTGTAGCTGTATGTTAGCATCTGATAGGGATGTGTTTCTGTTTGCTGTGAGGTGTAGCTGTATGTTAGCATCTGATAGGGATGTGTTTATGGGGGCTGTGAGGTGTAGCTGTATGTTAGCATCTGATAGGGATGTGTTTCTGTTTGCTGTGAGGTGTAGCTGTATGTTAGCATCTGATAGGGATGTGTTTATGGGGGCTGTGAGGTGTAGCTGTATGTTAGCATCTGATAGGGATGTGTTTCTGGGGGCTGTCAGGTGTAGCTGTATGTTGGCATCTGATGGGGATGTGTTTCTGGGGGCCGTGAGGTGTAGCTGTATGTTAGCATCTGATAGGGATGTGTTTCTGGGGGCTGTGAGGTGTAGCTGTATGTTAGCATCTGATAGGGATGTGTTTCTGGGGGCCGTGAGGTGTAGCTGTATGTTAGCATCTGATGGGGATGTGTTTCTCTGGGGGCTGTGAGGTGTAGCTGTATGTTAGCATCCGATAGGGGATGTGTTTATGGGGGCTGTGAGGTGTAGCTGTATGTTAGCATCTGATAGGGATGTGTTTCTGTCAGGGTAGCTGTATGTTAGGTAGGGATGTGCTGTTATGCTTATGTTAGCATCTGATAAGGATGCCTATGGGGCCGTGGGAGGTGGGATGTGTTTGATGGGGGCTGTGAGGTGTAGCTGTATGTTGGCATCTGATTGGGGATGTGTTGGGGGGCATAGCTGTATGTTAGCATCCGATAGGGATGTGTTTCGTTTGCTGTGAGGTATAGCTGTATGTTAGCTGTGAGGTGTAGCTGTATGTTAGCATCTGATAGGGATGTGTTTCTAGGGGCCGTGAGGTGTAGCTGTATGTTAGCATCTGATAGGGATGTGTTTCTGGGGGCTGTGAGGTGTAGCTGTATGTTAGCATCTGATAGGGATGTGTTTCTGGGGCCGTGAGGTGTAGCTGTATGTTAGCATCTGATAGGGATGTGTTTCTGGGGGCTGTGAGGTGTAGCTGTATGTTAGCATCTGATAGGGATGTGTTTCTGGCAGCTGTGAGGTGTAGCTGTATGTTGGCATCTGATGGGGATGTGTTTCTGGGGGCTGTGAGGTGTAGCTGTATGTTGGCATCTGATAGGGATGTGTTTCTGGGGGCTGTGAGGTGTAGCTGTATGTTAGCATCTGATAGGGATGTGTTTCTGGGGCTGTGAGGTGTAGCTGTATGTTAGCATCTGATAGGGATGTGTTCTGGGGGCTGTGAGGTGCAGCTGGATGTGTTTTAGCATCTCGGAAAGCGATGTGTGTCTAGGGCCGTGAGGTATAGCTGTATGTTAGCATCTGATAGGGATGTGTTTCTGGGGGCCGTGAGGTGTAGCTGTATGTTAGCATCTGATAGGGATGTGTTTCTGAGGGCCGTGAGGTGTAGCTGTATGTTAGCATCTGATAGGGATGTGTTTCTGAGGACCATGAGATATAGCTGTATGTTAGCATCTGATAGGGATGTGTTTCTGGGGGCTGTTAGGGCTAGCTGTATGTTAACATCTGATAGGGATGTGTACCTTAGTATGACTGAAACATCGTAGTGCTAAAGGTGGACTGGACGTGTGCCAGTATAGGGTTTTAGCCTGTACTTACAGTGTACCACATGTAGACATGTACATGTACCTTAGTATGACTGAAACAGTGTAGTGTTAAAGGGAGACTGGGTGTGAGCCAGTATAAGGTTCTAGCCTGTACTCACAGTGTACCACATATAGACATGTACATGTACCTTAGTATGACTGAAACATCGTAGTGTTAAAGGGAGACCGGGTGTGTGCCAGTATAAGGTTCTAGCCTGTACTCACAGTGTACCACATGTAGACATGTACATGTACCTTAGTATGACTGAAACAGTGTAGTGTTAAAGGGAGAGTGGGCGTGTGCCAGTATACGGTTCTAGCCTGTACTTACAGTGTACCACATGTAGACATGTACATGTACCTTAGTATGACTGAAACAGTGTAGTGTTAACGGGAGGCTGGGTGTGAGCCAGTATAAGGTTCTAGCCTGTACTCACAGTGTACCACATGTAGACATGTACATGTACCTTAGTATGACTGAAACAGTGTAGTGTTAAAGGGAGAGTGGGCGTGTGCCAGTATACGGTTCTAGCCTGTACTTACAGTGTACCACATGTAGACATGTACATGTACCTTAGTATGACTGAAACAGTGTAGTGTTAAAGGGAGACCGGGTGTGTGCCAGTATAAGGTTCTAGCCTGTACTCACAGTGTACCACATGTAGACATGTACATGTACCTTAGTATGACTGAAACAGTGTAGTGTTAAAGGGAGAGTGGGCGTGTGCCAGTATACGGTTCTAGCCTGTACTTACAGTGTACCACATGTAAGAGGAGGAAAGGAAGGAGGAAAAGGAGGAAGGAGATAGAGGAGATAGGAGGAAGGAAGGAGATAAAGGGATGGAAGGAAGTTCCTTCCTTCTACTCTCTGCCTCCTTCCCTGTACACCGCCCCTTCCTTCCCGCATTTCCTTGCTCTTCCTCAACCCCAGCCAGCCTCTTCCTCCTCCTCTACTTCCGCTCCTCCCAGTACACGCCTCGTCCTCCCTCCCCTCTACCTCGCCCTCCCAGCATGCCCTTCCTCCCTCCTCTACCTCGCCCCCATATGCCCTTCCTCCTCCCCACTCCTCGCCCTCCCCTCACGACACGCCTCTTCCTCCTCCCCCACTCGCCCTCCCCGCACATCATTCTTCCTCCTCCTCTACTCCTTCCTCCCCAGTACATGCCCTCGTCCTCCCCACCTCCCAGCATTACGCCTCCTCCCTCTACCTCGCCCTCCCAGCCACCGCCCTGTCCTCCCCACCTCGCCCTCCCCGCACGCCTCTTCCTCCTCCCCACTCTCAGCCCTCCCCGGCATGCCTCGTCCTCCTCCTCTACCTCGGCCTCCCCCTCGACATGCCTCTTCCTCCTCCCACTCTCGCCCTCCCGCACACGCCGCCTTCCTCCTCCCCACCTCGCCCTCCCCCGCACAGTTCCTCCTCCCCACTCCTCACCCTCCGCACACGCCTCTTCCTCCCCCACTCTCCTTCCCCGCACACGCCCTCCCTCCCCACTCTTGCTCCTCCCCCACACGCCCCTCTTCCCTCCTCCCCCGCACACGCCTCTTCCTCCTCCCCCACTCTCCCGCTCCACCCATCGGCCTCCCTCCCCACTCCCCGCCTCCCCTGCACCGCCTCTTCCTCCTCCCCCACCTCGCCCTCCCCACACGCCTCTTCTCCCTCCTCCCCACCTCGTCCTCCCCAGACACCGCTTCTTCCTTTCTCTGCCTCCTCAACCTTCCCCTCCTCTTCATTCGAACTCATCTCTCCCTCCCAACCCGCATACCCTCTCTCTCTCATCCCTGGCGCCCCTCCCACCCGCGGCACCCTCTCTATCCCTGGCGTCCTCCTCCCCTCCCCACCTGGCACCTCTCATCCCTGGCCCTCCCACCACAGCATACACCCTCCCTCATCCCTGCAGACCCCTCCCACCAGATAAACCTCTCTCATCATCCCTGTCTCCTCCCCATCCAGCATACACCCTCATCACCGGTTCTCCACCCGTATACACCCTCATCCCTGGCTCACCTCCTCAATTCACCTCTCTCGCGCATCCCCTGGCTCCTCCCACCCGAGTACTTCTCTTCATCTCTGCCCCTCGATACACCTCTCCATCCTGCCCTCTACCCGTACACATTCCTTTTCATCGACCCGTAACCCGCCCCTCACACTCCCGCGCTCCCGCATTCGCCTCTCACTCCTCACCTGTTATCCCCACCTCGCTGTTCCCCACGCATTCCTCTACACTCCATACACTTCTCCTACAGTCACCCTCCCTCCTCACCGAGTTTCTCATACCCAAACACCTTTATAAATATTTAAACAGAAATAGTTACGAATGGCCAGAAATTGTGCTTGTAAGTTATTTATCCAATTTATATGATTAACATGTGAACAGATCATTGTCTTTTTCATGTTGAGGATACTGTGATACGTGTACACTTAGTTGGCAAATATCTGATACGTTATTAGGGACAGAAGTTGAGGCTGAAAAATGTTAAAATGTGACTTTCTGATATTACAGGGACCTAGGATCTATCTTGGCAGATACACAAAGGTGGAGTACCTCTCATTTTGAAACAAAGAAAGTCCCAAGTTACTGATTATGTTTTAATGTGTATGAGCACAGCTATTATTGTTCTTCAAGCTAGGGGACATATTTTGCAGATGCGGGGACTAAAACCTACAGTCTGGAAACAGGAACAGGGACCACGTTGACACTGCAGTGTGAGTATAATCAGCTGCTTGCTTGGCGACCTTCACACCTGGATGTAACATCGTTGAGCGCCCATTGACACAAGACGTTACTGGCTGAAGCGTTGTTTCCTGACACCACAGGCTGCAGACCAGGTTGCTGCTGAAGCCCTATCACATTGTAGACCTTGTGCACAATTAGAGTTGTTAGATAGGGTTCTCGTTTACGCGATTCCCATCTTCTGAACAAAGGATAGGACATGGGTGTATCAATTTAGCGTATCTTCTGAACACAGGCTGGTACTGAATTTGTCTTAAGGTTTGATCATTAGATCAATATATGACTGTTTGAGTGGCATTCTAGATTTTGATATAGAGATGTCAAAACTTTATGGATCAAAATATAGAGTTGATCATCCCAAAAGTTTTCTCATCTCCATTAGAACACACAGACTGTAATTGATGTCGTCATGGTGTCCACCTTTAAACAGTCATTATACCGCTAAGTGTAGTGATGTCCGCCTTAAAACACTCATTATAGCGCTGGGTGAAGTGATGCCCGTCCTTTAACGCTCATTATAGCGCTGGGTGTAGTGATGTCTCCCTTTAAACACTCATTATAGCGCTGGGTGTAGTGATGTCCCCCTTTAAACACTCGTTATAGCGCTGGGTGCAGTGATGTCCGCCTTTAAACACTCATTATAGCTCTAGGTGCAGTTATGTCCGCCTTTAAACACTCATTATAGCGAAGGGTGTAGTGATGTCTGCCCTTCAAACACTCATTATAGCGCTGGGAGTAGTGATGTCCACCTTTAAACACTCATTATAGCGCTGGGTTTAGTGATGTCTGCCCTTTAACCACTCATTATAGCGCTGGGTGTAGTGATGTCCGTCTTCAAACACTCATTATAGTGCTAGCTGTAGTGATGTCCTCCTTTAAACACTCATTCTAGCGCTGGGTGTAGCGATGTCCGCCTTTAAACACTCATTATAGCGCTTGGTGTAGTGATGTCCTCCTTTAAACACTCATTATAGCGCTGGGTGTAGTGATACCCGCCTGTAAAACTCACCTAGTGATGTCCGCCTTTAAACACACTCATTATAGCGCTGGGTGTAGTGATGTCCTCCTTTAAACACTCATTATAGAGCTGGGTTTAGTGATGTCCGCCTTTAAACACTCATTATAGCGAAGGGTGTAGTGATGTCCTCCTTTAAACAATCATTATAGGGCTGGGTGTATTGATGCCCGCCATTTACACACTCATTATAGCGCTAGGTGTAGCGATTTCCGCCTTTAAACACTCATTATAGGGCTGGGTGTAGCGATGTCCGCCTTTAAACACTCATTATAGGTCTAGGTGTAGTGATCCCCGCAATTTACACACTCATTATAGCGGAGGGTGTAGCGATTTCCGCCTTTAAACAGTAATTTTAGCGCTGGGTGTAGTGATGTCCTCCTTTAAACATTCATTATAGCGCTGGGTGTAGTGATGTCCGCCTTTAAACACTCATTATAGCGCTAGGTGTAGTGATGTCATCCCTTAAACACTAATTATAGCGCTGGGTGTAGTGATGTCCGCCTTTAAACACTTATTATAGCGCTAGCTGTAGTGATGCCCGCCATTTACACACTCATTATAGCGCAGGGTGTAGCGATTTCCTCCTTTAAACACTCATTATAGTGCTAGGTGTAGTGATGTCCTCCCTTAAACACACATTAGGGTTGGGTGTAGGATGTCCTGGGTGTAGTGATGTCCTCCTTTAAACACTCATTAGTGAAGCGCTGGGTGTAGTGATGTCCGCCTTTAAACACTCATTATAGCGCTGGGTGTAGTGATGTCCGCCTTTAAACACTCATTAAAGCGCTGGGTGTAGTGATGTCCGCCTTTAAACACTCATTATAGCGCTGGGTGTAGTGATGTCCGCCTTTAAAACACTCATTATGTGTAGCATGTCTGCCTTTAAACACTCATTATAGCGCTAGGTGTAGTGATGCCCGCCATTTAAACACTCATTATAGCGCAGGGTGTAGTGATTTCCGCCTTTAAACAGTCATTATAGCGCTAGGGGTGTAGTGATGTCCTCCTTTAAACACTCATTATAGGGCTGGGTGTAGTGATACCCGCCATTTACACACTCATTATAGCGCAGGGTGTAGTGATTTCCGCCTTTAAAGACTCATTATAGCACTGGGTGTAGTGATGTCCTCCTTTAAACACTCATTATAGCGCTGGGTGTAGTGATGCCCGCCATTTACACACTCATTATAGCGCAGGGTGTAGTGATTTCCGCCTTTAAACACTCATTATAGCGCTGGATGTAGTGATGTCCGCCTTAAAACACTCATTATAGCGCTCCGTGTTGTGATGTCCTCCTCTAAACACTCATTATAGCGCTGGGGGTAGTGATGTCCGCCTTTAAACACTCATTATAGCGCAGGGTGTAGCCCGATTTAAACACGCCTATTGCGTGTATGGCTGGGGTGATTGCCACTTTTAAACACTCATTATAGCGCTGGATGTAGTGATGTCCGCCTTTAAACACTCATTATAGCGCTAGGTGTAGTGATGTCCGCCCTTTAAACACTCATTATAGCGCAGGGTGTAGCGATTTCCGCCTTTAAACACTCATTATAGCGCTGGATGTAGTGATGTCCGCCTTTAAACACTCATTATAGCGCTAGGTGTAGTGATGCCCGCCATTTACACACTCATTATAGCGAAGATATGTAGTGTAGTGATGTCCGCCTTTAAACACTCATTATAGCGCTGGGTGTAGTGATGTCCTCCTTTAAACACTCATTATAGCGCTGGGGGTAGTGATGTCCGCCTTTAAACACTCATTATAGCGCTGGGTGTAGCGATGTCCGCCTTTAAACACTCATTATAGCGCTAGGTGTAGTGATGCCCGCCATTTACACACTCATTATAGCGCAGGGTGTAGCGATTTCCGCCTTTAAACACTCATTATAGCGCTGGGTGTAGTGATGTCCTCCTTTAAACACTCATTATAGCGCTACGTGTAGTGATGTCCGCCATTTAAACACTCATTATAGCGCTGGGTGTAGTGATGTCCTCCATTTAAACACTCATTATAGCGCTAGGTGTAGTGATTTCCGCCTTTAAACACTCATTATAGCGCTGGGTGTAGTGATTTCCGCCTTTAAACACTCATTATAGCTGGGTGTAGTGATGATCTTCTCCTTTAAACACTCATTATAGCGCTAGGTGTAGTGATGTCCGCCATTTAAACACTCATTATAGCTCAGGGTGTAGTGATTTCCGCCTTTAAACACTCATTATAGCGCTAGGGTGTAGTGATGTCCGCCCTTTAAACACTCATTATAGCGCTGGGTGTAGTGATGTCCTCCTTTAAACACTCATTATAGCGCTGGGTGTAGTGATGTCCTCCTTTAAACACTCATTATAGCGCAGGGTGTAGTGATGTCCGCCTTTAAACACTCATTATAGAATAGCGCAGGGTGTAGTGATGTCCGCCCTTTAAACACTCATTATAGCGCTAGTGATGTAGTGATGTCCGATCTGTCTCCTTTAAACACTCATTATAGCGCTGGGTGTAGTGATGTCCTCCTTTAAACACTCATTATAGCGCAGGGTGTAGTGATGTCCGCCTTTAAACACTCATTATAGCGCTGGGTGTAGTGATGTCCGCCCTTTAAACACTCATTATAGCGCTGGGTGTAGTGATGTCCGCCTTTAAACACTCATTATAGCGCTGGGTGTAGTGATGTCCGCCTTTAAACACTCATTATAGCGCTGGGTGTAGTGATGCCCGCCATTTACACACCTCATTATAGCGCAGGGTGTAGCGATTTCCGCCTTTAAACACTTATTATAGCGCTGGGTGTAGTGATGTCCGCCTTTAAACACTCATTATAGCGCTAGGTGTAGTGATGTCCGCCTTTACACACTCATTATAGCGCTGGGTGTAGTGATGTCCGCCTTTAAACACTCATTACCAGCGCTTGTAGTGATGTCCGCATTATAGGGCAGGTGTAGTGATGTCCGCCTTTAAACACTCATTATAGCGCTGGGTGGCCGGTGATGTCCCGCCATTTACACACGGTATTATAGCGCAGGGTGTGATTTCCGCCTTTAAGCACTCATTATAGCGCTGGATGTAGTGATGTCCTCCTTTAAACACTCATTATAGCGCTGGGTGTAGTGATACCCGCCTTTAAACACTCATTATGGCGCTAGGTGTAGTGATTTCCGCCTTTAAACACTCATTATAGCGCTGGAGTGTAGTGATGTCCGCCTTTAAACACTCATTATAGCGCTGGGTGTAGTGATGTCCGCCTTTAAACACTCATTATAGCGCTGGGTGTAGTGATGATGTCCGCCTTTAAACACTCTCATTATGGCGCAGGGTGTAGTGATTTCCGCCTTTAAACACTCATTATAGCGCTAGGTGTAGTGATGTCCGCGCCTTTAAACACTCAT